CCTGAGGGCCGCCAGCCGGGGTGGCATGGCCCCGAGGGAGGGGACATGGGGCGTCAGACACCACTGAGGGGACGTGGGGGCTTCGCCACTGAGGGCACGAGGGGGCTCAGACACTGAGGGGACGTGGGGGGCTTCGCCACTGAGGGCACGAGGGGGCTCAGACACTGAGGGGACGTGGGGGGCTTCGCCACTGAGGGCACGAGGGGGCTCAGACACTGAGGGGACGTGGGGGGCTTCGCCACTGAGGGCACGAGGGGGCTCAGACACTGAGGGGACGTGGGGGGCTTCGCCACTGAGGGCACGAGGGGGCTCAGACACTGAGGGGACGTGGGGGGCTTCGCCACTGAGGGCACGGGGGGGCTGAGACACTGAGGGGACGTGGGGGCTTCGCCACTGAGGGGACGAAGGGGCCGAGACACTGCGTGGGGGGCTTCGCCACTGAGGGCACGAGGGGGCTCAGACACTGAGGGGACGTGGGGGGCTTCGCCACTGAGGGCACGAGGGGGCTCAGACACTGAGGGGACGTGGGGGGCTTCGCCACTGAGGGCACGAGGGGGCTCAGACACTGAGGGGACGTGGGGGGCTTCGCCACTGAGGGCACGAGGGGGCTCAGACACTGAGGGGACGTGGGGGGCTTCGCCACTGAGGGCACAAGGGGGCTCAGACACTGAGGGGATGTGGGGCACTTCCCCACTGAGGGGACGTGGGGGGCTTCGCCACTGAGGGCACACGTGGCCCTCAAGCACTGCGGGGTTGTGGGACACTGAGGCAGCACGCGGCAATTTGCTGCTGAGGGGACACGGGGCGCTCAAAGTCTGAGGGGACAGGGGGCGCTCAGATGCTGAGGGGACGTGGGGTCCTTTGCCACGGAGGGGACACAGGGACGGGAGAGGACACAGGCTCCTCCACCCCTAAACTGCCGTGTCCCTCCCCACGGAGCTCCTGCGGCGCCGTGGACTCATGCTGCCGGATACGCGTGCGTTGCTGGCACCGAGGCTGCGCTGAAGCTGCTGAAAGGGGCACTGTTCTTCCTCTCACTAAAGGAGACTATAAGAATTCATTTAGCTGTGTAAAGTGCTTGGAGATTCTTGAATGAGGGAAACTATGATTTCAAATCCATTTTCAATTAAAAAAACCCCCAAACCTCCAGATCTTGATGTAGGCCTCTGATTTCTTGTATGCTAATAATAATGTTTAAAGATGTCTAAACACTGAGAACTGTGATTGCAATGAATTTGCCCACAAAAGTGGAGAACAGGTTTAGGTCCTTTAAAAAAAGAAGTCCACTAAGTGAAAGCATGGGAAAAAATTAAAGCTAAAATATGCATAGAGAGAGGTGAGGCTCCCTTGACAGCTGTGGTTGCATTGAAGTTGGAGGATATGTACAGAGCTAGAGGGGAACTCATTATATTCAAGAAAAAAAGTTATTACTCATACCAGCTGTGATCTTTTTTCAGTGTGGGATGAACATTGTAACACCCATTAAAGAGAATTATGAATGTAATTCCTGACATGCTAAAAAGGTGATTGTCAACCTCATAGAAATGTAGCTAATACTTTGATGAAACAGATCCTACTTGCGATTTTGATTTCCATATTTTTTGTTTGTGAAAATACTATTCTGGGAAAGCATGGCCATTTCATTTGATGGAAAGAGTTTGATCTTTTTCTAATGAATTTCTAAGATGAAATACTATCTTGAAAAAAATCAGAGTAACTACATCTATGATAAAACAGGAAGACTTATGTTGTAGTTTGGAAGATAAGGTATTGATCCTACCAAGAGCTGTTTTCATGTATGACTTCACACTGCGAATAGCAATGGGCCTGCTCAGTGGATTTACTGAGGCTGAAGAACTTATTAAATTAAGCAAGGCAATTACTGCTCTGGTAAGGTGGGACCTTGGAGTTAGGACTTTTTTTTCTAATTAGAGCTGATCAAAAATATTGCAAAGAAAGCTGAATTGTATGGCTTTGCCAATTTGTCAAAACTAGAAGCCTTCATTTTCAGTGATAGCAGTTGAAGATAAACAAGAAAAGTATGACCAACTATGTAGGGAGCTGTACTACTGTAATTATAGGCTGATGTAACATGCCAGTAAAGTTTTGAACGGGCAAGCACTTTCTTGGGGTTTGGACAACCCACTTAACCTTCCTGAGCTGCATTTTCCATGAAGGTGAACTAGAGATATAAAAAACAACTAAGCCTTGGAAGGTAATTTGAGATCCACAAAGGAAAGTTATACAAACATTGATATTGATATTACCACTTATGTATTAGTATTTGGGACTCTATATAAATGCAAAGCTTGTTTTAGTATTTCTTAAGTCCATCAAGTAATTAGTGCAGACTAGTAATGTATTAGCAAAAATTCAAAGCGCCATGGGGGTAGCAAGTCATCTATCTTTCTTAAATTTTTTTTGAAATGACACGTATAAAACCGGTTTTTCAGCACATAAAATTATGTGTAACCTTCGTCCCTAATTACAAGTTACCCAAGCATACTGATAGGGGTATGATAATTTCAAAGCTAGGAGACAGACTGTCTTCCTGCTTCAGCTCACTTTTCTAATTAAGATCATTATGCATAGTAGTCAGATTGATTCAAGGCTTAGATAAATAATATGTCCTGTTGTTTCCATTGATTTGAATTTGTAATGAACTGGGTTCCATTGCTGGTATCGCATTTCTAGTTCTTGACTGCAGATTTTCTGCATGTGAGAAAGCACAAAATGCGCATTGAATGACATTTCCCTTAGCCTGTCCCTCAGGCTATAGCACATGAAACTATATTGGTTCCAGGACATGAACTTCTTTAACAGAGATTCTTCGAAGACTCCAACATAAACTTTGCTGCTTGTCAGATACCTACTGCAGGAAGGTTAGAGCAGAAGAGCAATCTCAACTGCTCTAAGGATTATGAAGATTAACAGTGGGCAGATCTATCAAAATCTAGTTTATAGAAAAATCGGCATAGTTATTAACACCTACGGTTTGATTTTTATACCTTTAAAAAAGGGAAGTCTCTCCGTGGAACAACTCATGTTTAAAGAAAACAAAGGAAAATTAGGAAAACAAGAAATAGGTGCTTTTAGCCAAACGAGATGGATTCACTCTAAGCAATCTGTAACAGA